AGTAGAATAGAATAAAATAGAACTGAATTCAATATAACATGATACGATATATCCTGGGCCTGAAAGCCTAAAGCCTCAAAGCCCGCTCTCAAACCTGCCAGATGCACCTCCGGCGCCATGGGACTGCTGGAAAGAGTATGCGCCAGGCAACACTAAACCACGCCGAAGGCGCAGCGGGGGAAGGCCGGGGGGGGGGGGGGGGGGGGGCAAAGTGTACGAGGAATCGGGTGGGATGCCAGTGGACTGCAGTGACTGGCCACACTTGTGGTTGCAAGCTGTCACGGAGGATGGTTGTTGGCATCGTAGCCGCTACCGTTGGGAACAGGTCCGTTGCAGCACACAGGCTCTTGATCATGGTGGCCTTCGGAATGGATTTGCATCTGTGCATCAGAAACTGCATCCTCCTATCATCACAGCGTACTGGCACCATGTAGTTCTCCTCATCATTGCCATGCGAAAAGCCGCAGCAGGACCGGCTTTGGACAGGAGGATTAGCAGTGTCAGTGGTAGAAACAGCCATACTTCCTCCTAGTGCTGTAGCCCTATTCCTACCACTTCGACGACGACTGACCACTGACCGCCACCATGACAACCACCACCACCACCACCACCACCACCACCACCAGTCACGAAGATGGTGACAAATGTTGCAGCTGTTGCTGCCGCCACCACCACCGCAAGAATAATACATGTAATTTTATGTTTTAAGACACTGAATCACATTCTGTTACATTATATTCTATCATATGACATAAACTTCAAATTTAACAGAAATATATCACGCATGTAATAATGTGCAAGACTATGCAATATATAACATAAAAACCTAATATATGTTGCAAAATACAATACAAAGTATACATTATAACATAACATAATGAAAACATTGTATCACACTATAATGTAATATAAGATGGTAAGCTGCAATATAGTATGATGTAATATGATAAGGAATAATACAGTACAATATGAACATGTAGTAATATTAATAATAACATTATGTTTTGCTAGAATATGATATGATGCAATATGGTATAAGATAAGGATATATATATATATAGTAATGTGATAAGATATAACATGATGTGACACAACACAGCATGATGTAATATAATATAGCATAATGTAATGAAATGTAATGCAATCTAATGTAAGATGATATCATGTAAGGTAACGCAGGTTGATGTGATGTAATGGAATATAATGTAGCACAAAGTGAAATAATGGTATAATAGAATGTAATATAACACCATCCTTAGGTCCACAGCTTCAGTGTTGCCACTTCCAAAGCAGAGATGGTTTTGCACACCTTCCCTTAGTCTGACACACCCGTCGATTCGGCGGGTGACACACCGGTTTAGGGTTGAGAGTTTAGGCTACCAGCATGATAGACAGAGACTCCATTATCACCAAGCCTGGCTGCAGAGTCATCTGCGTTCTGCAGACCATGATACCCTAAAGGAAGTTGTACCACCTGCAACAGGGCTTTGACACCCGGACATGATAAGTGGTCTTATGCACTGGTGCCTCATACCGTTGCTGACATGCCACTATAACGGACATGAATAAGCAGTGCGAGTTTGGGTTCCTTTGCTGCAATCCCAACAAAACAGGAAAGCTTAGTGTAGGGGCCTGAATAATTACAATAGGGTTTTGGCCCCTTTATAGTATTAATATAATAAGGAACGCTGAGGAATAATATTGTTAATTATTATGCTTCTATATTAGACCTGCCAACAAAGGTTTGGCCTTATGGACCCCTTAGAAGCCCACGCAAAACGCCGTTTCTTCAGCAGAGGCATGCAGTACTCAAGGACCTGATGCAGGGAGGCCTCGACCGAAACACCCGGCAGCAAGAGTGTTTTTAAAGGATGTCCTGTGCGGGCTTTCTTGGTCCCCGATATCGTGCGGCACCCTATCAAAAGCACCCCAACAGGGACCCTATTTTAGAAAGCTACCCATATGGGAATCACAAGCGTCTGTTTAAAGGAGATCTCTACAGGTGTGTATTCGGGTTCAGGCTTCAGGCTTCCTCCAAGGCTGTTGGAAGATTATTTTAACGGATCATCAGGATTTTAAAGTGTCCAGGCTAGTACGGGTTTAACCTTCAAGGTTTTATGCTGCGGATTTTGGGGTTGCAAGGTCTAGGCAGACTTGCAGCAACCCTAGAAACACCCGAGGCACAACATGCACAGAACTGTATTCCATGCGCCCTCAGCCCTTTATAAAACTTATATGGTCGAAAGCCTGATCAGAAAAGACCTGTAAACCTAAAACCCTTAAACCTCTAAACCCTACACCAAATCCCTAGATCCTAAAACCTGAAACTTAATCCCCTAGATCCTGAACCCTAACCAAAAACCCTAAACACCCCAAAACCCTCGAAGCCCTAAGAGCCCAAGATACTCCAGCCCTTAATCCTCCCTAACCTTCTAATGCAGGGGCCTTAATAATTAGAATAGGGTTTTGGCGGCTCCTTATTATAATTTGTAGCATAATAGACCCCGAAACCCTATTCTAACTATTAAGGCCCCTAAACCCTAAACCTTATCACTTATCGTAGCCCTTATAGAACCCTTTAAGGAATCCTTGAAAGGAACCCCCCAAAACCCTATTCTACTTATCAAGGCCCCTAAACCCCAAACCCTTATCGTAGCCCTCATAGAACCCGGAACCCCCAAGAACCCTATTCTACTTATAAAGGCCCCTAAACCCCAAACCCTTACCGTAGCCCTTATAGAACCCTTTAAGGAATCCTTGAAAGGAACCCCCCAGAACCCTATTCCAATTCTTAAGGCCCCTTACAGGACCCACATCCGGAGATCGGACCCTCCTCCCTGCATAGGCGATGCCTTTTGGGCCGCTGCAAACATACTTAGGGACTCATAGGGTTCAGGGTCTAGGGACTCATAGGGTTTAGGGTTTAGGGTTTAGGGTTTAGGGTTCGGTTTAGGGTTTAGGGTTCAGGGTTTTAGGATTTATAGGGTTTAGGGTTCAAGGTTGGGGATTTATAGGGTTTAGGGTTCAGGGTCTAGGGATTTATAGGGTTCAGGGTTTTGGGATTTATAGGGTTTAGGGTTCAAGGTTGGGGATTTATAGGGTTTAGGGTTCAGGGTCTAGGGATTTATAGGG